CTGAGATTGATAAACTTCATGTGTTACCAAAGAAAGCTTTGTCACTCAGTTATTATTATAATTTTCCACTCAGGTTTACAATTAGCCTTCCATGTACCTTGTAATTCCACAGCTGAAACATCTGCTTCAGGACTCTCAGTCTTGATTTCAGGCAAACTCTCCTGTGTGGCTGTTGACTGTAACAGAGGAATGAAGTCGCCTTGAATTGGTCATTGGCTTTAACAGTGCATGCTAAATGCTAATCCTTGAAATTATATCTTTTGAAACTATCCGACGGCATGGGCTGTCACCTGACAACAATACTTGGTACCACTACACCTTCATCAGTGACAATGACCCACCAGAATATTAATTTCCTCAAACATCTGCATAAGGTCCAAATGCCAGCAGCTTTGCTATAGATCTATAGATGTTCAACAGATTGGATGGCCAGTGTTTATCCAGAAATTGCCGCTGTGTATGTGGGTTTCCGCTGTAAGTCCCTACTTAGATTGATGATGGTTTACAACATACAGCCACCGCCAAGTCAAGAACCGACTATTAAAACTAATTATTATTCATTTTTAATGAAAGCATACCGTGGTAGGTAAACTTAAAACTCTGTAACTGTTTGGAAGCTTCATTTTTCCGATAAATGAAGGCTGGTTCATAATTGTCCGCACGCGTACTATCGGATGTGTCCGCTGGAACGTTGATGACACGTTTGACGTAACTGTGCGCCTCCGCGGAAGAACGCCTGCTTCATTCACAATTCGTGTCCGCGCGGCTCTGGACACACTGCGCATGATTGATTCACTAGCGTCCACTTCTAAATACCAGCACGGATGCTTTTGACGAGCGTTGAGGTAGTTTGCAAACCCTATAGACTATTTACGAGGTAATGAACCTGTTACATACATGTAAATGCGAGTAGAGACTTGTCTAGTATTGAAAAGCAAACGCCAGCTAGCTGAAGAAAGTTGGCAACCCTGTGAGCCGGCGCTCTGAATTTGTAAAATAGAGAAATGGACACAAACCTCATTGCTGTGGTACGTGTGCACAGAATATCAGAATAATAATTTATATTCTATTCTTCTTATTATTAAAAAAATATAAACACAACACGTATGTGCAAAGTACGCGGCTTGACCGGAGAACTATTAACATTTCCGTGTACGCATACGTACAGTGGAGAGTGGATAGTGTTGCGTTTGTGTAGAGTATGATTGATAAGACTGAAGTAGATACCAAACTGGATATGATTACGGTATACAGAACCACCTTTATGTAGAGCTCCTATTCACATTTATTTACGTATCTTCTCCCTTTCGTTGACGGTACTGCACTACACTTAAATTTCGCGAAGGCAGTGAGCAAAAGAGTGATTCTTTTCATTCAAAAACAGAGTTTTAAAAATTTTAATGCATTTTAAAAATCGTTGTCCTATATTGCAAAACACACTTGAACCCGAACAACCTGCATGCGTCTCCTCTAAATTTATGCACACCTGGAAACTTTCTTGCAACCTCTCTTGGTGCTGATCGCATTGCCGCGACGTCCACAGCTGGTTTTCCATCAGCTGCAGTTTCTTCCTGAGCGCTTCGTTCTCCTTCTGGTGTTT